CAATCGAATATCAAAGAGTTGAAAATAAACTGTCTTCATTGGATCCTGTAGTTCTCCAGGTTGGTACATGTCTCTAGTTGTTTTCTTACAGTCTGTGATGGCCTAGTAGTATTTATCTGTCATAATGGTTAGCATGTTTGCCCAACACCAGGGAGACTGCGGGTTTGATTCCGATGTATGATTGGCTTATGATCGACTGATCACTCAGCAATGGAAAAACAAAGAGTACCTTTTGACATTCAAACCTAGCATTCAAATTTAGGAGAATAGCGACGTTACTGAGGGGACATAAAGCTGTTGGTTCCATATACTGTTATTATTCTCAGTATGTAATTGATTCAGTTGTTTATCGTAAAAAGTGTCGGTCATATGTCTTAAAACACGTATATGCGTTGTGATGTCTCTAATTTTTAAGTCTGTCAATATGCCTGAGTCTGTTAACGAAAAAAGAAAGTATGAGTGGGCAATATTCATCATTAAACTGATAAATCTCCTAAATACATAAGTGAGAGTTTTCAGCATTTTTGCTTAGTGAATCATTCATGACAAAAATTCTTTTCAGCATAGCATTAAAATTAATCTTTGAAGCACACACTTGTTGTTTTTTGAAAAATATTTCTTATTGATGATTTTAAGCACACAAAGTGGTATTTTTATTTTGTACATATTTGCCATAATTACCGTGGTAACACTTCTGCAAATAACAGACTGAGGTATTTTCATGTTCAAAATGAATATAATGTTTCAGCGTGCAATAAATGCAATTTTGGGTTTATGTGTGTTTCTATTGCAGTTATACTTCGACTGGTAATAGAACAAATTGTAATGTTGTACATGTATGTGATGATTGGGCTGCAATAAATATATATGTATTGATTCTCGCCCAAATTATTGTGCAATTTTTTCTTATATTCTTCAATATTTCTGGAAATAAACCCTAATTTTGGAGTCAACAAACAAAATTCCTTGTCAATGCTATTTTTGTCCCAATCTTCTGAAGGAAAATGCAGACTATAAATGGGACTATTTTGTGAATTTGTGATGAAAATAAAGAACTGGTTAAAACCTTTTCTATTTCAAATTTTTAGGAACACGAGTTTCTCAAGAATTGTGTGGCTAAGATTGCCAATGTACAGCCAGAGATATTGGTTGTTGAAAAGAGCGTAGCAAGACTAGCGCAGGATTTCCTCCATCATGCTGGCATAACAGTTGTTCTCAGTGTCAAAACAGTGAGTATCCATCCTGCTTATGTCTGTTATTTCTCTACTAGGGGTAAAATAATGTCACAGTGGTTATCAGAATGTGGCATTTCAAATAAAATGTTGTGTATTTTAGCTCCTGTGTGGAAAGGACACTCTAGAGATGGTTAAAGTATGTCTGTTCTGTCACAGTGTGTCTGTGTAAACAAAATCTTGAAAACTCGAAAGATTTTCTTCAAATTTAATTCATAAGTTTACTGGGGTTTTTCTAGAAAAAAACTGCAAGAGGGAACACTGCAATTCAGCAGTGACACCAAGTGGGGGAGATAGGGTTCTCCCTACCAGGGTGTGGTGTTTTTGATAATTCTAAGTTAAAATGGAGCATTCTATGGCTTCCCTGGGGCCAAAATTACTATCAGACAGGTCACAGTTGACTGTGGCCACATGTGATCCCTGGTCAATCAGAATTTTATGGTTGCCAGAGGATCTGCTCCCAGAATGAAGGCGCTGCACTCCTGTTCCCTTGTTTAAAAAAATCTCTGGGTTTAGAAATGTGCAAACATGACAAATTTTGGGGGTAAGTCTGCACATATTATTAAGTAGTTAATTTGCATATTACCAGTTTCCTAGTAATTTGTGACTACTGTAATTATATTTTCACTCTTATTCTGTGATATCCTGAAAACTCAAGTTATTATAAGTGACTGCGACATTATAGTGATGGTAGATGTTGTCTCTGTGTTTGTTTCGCAGCAAGTAATGGAGAGAATAGCACGGTGTACGCAAGCCGACCTCGTCTCATCAATAGACCAAGTTTCTAAGCCCCGATTGGGATTCTGTCATTCATTTCGATTGCAGAGTTTTAAAATGGAAGACGGTGAGTCTGTTGTACCATTCATGCTGTCTTTAATTCTTCTGCTGTTACATTTCTTTTAGTATAATCATAAAGTGCTTGGAAAACCTGGGAATTTTGATCTGTGAGAGGTTTCTGGGAAGGTAGGCTCTACAGAATGTGTGTAAATATAGCTGGGAATGTGGAAGAAATTGAAATACCCTGAGAGTTAAAAAATGTTTTACTTTCTGTTGACATGGGTGCTACCATTTCCATGTATTTCAAGTAAGTTTGAGCGATGCCAACTGAGCATCTGTTAACTCAATTGCTCATGCTTAAATCTTGATGTCTGGAATGCACACACATCATTGTTCTACAGAACTAATGTCAGTAACATTTTGATGAAATTGGTAAACTGTTCAGTTCTGCTCGCTGACCTGTATCAACTTTTGTCTAATCTCGACCATCTGTGGAAATCTTTTGTAATAAAGTAAACTGATCACGTTGTTATTGTGATGTGATGTTATTTACTATGCACACATAATGTATGAAATTCTTCTCTTGAACGGTTTTTGGTTTTATTTGTAAGAAAAAACACACATTGAAATGCCATGAAAAGAATAATAATTTCAGAGTTGGGGGGGGGGGGGTATACTGTAAAATACTTTATTTTAGCTGGAAATAATTTTCACTGAATAGACTTTTTGGATGTTTTGTATGGAATTTAGTTTTACTGATTTTTGACGAGTTGAATGTAAAATGTAGGAAAAAAGGTATATTTGCTGGATTTTATTTTCACTGATTCATTCCTTTTGCGAAAATATAAAAAAATAATTCCAAGCAAAAATAAAGTATTCCACAGTATGTTGTTTCATGTAATGAAGGTTTTTTTGTTTTTAATTAATTGTTCAGGGTGTATGAAGACATTGATGTTCTTTGAAGGTTGTGCCACTCATCTCGGCTGTACTATCATTCTACGTGGTGGATCACAAGATGAACTAGCCAAGGTAAGGCATTTAATGAATCCTGTCAGTTGGTATTCACCCTTTTACCTTTTCAGCACCAGTTCCCTATTTTCGTCACAAATTAGTCCCTTCAGAAGATTGGGAAAAAATAGCCAAATTTTTTGAGTAAAAACTGAAACTTTACCCAAATTTTGTTTGTTGGCTCCAAAATTAAGGTTTATTTCCAGAAATATTGTAAAATAAGAAAAAAGTTCAGAAAAATGTGGGCAAAAGATTGATGGTGGCAGGCATTATTGGTAATTGATCTCAAATTTTCAGGAAGAGGTTTGGTCTGGAAAAATATCTTAATTATGCCATCTGTAGTTGTCATATCTGATTTTAAGCAATTGTTCATTTTCAACTTCATACAAGAAATTAAAAGTAAAAAAACCAACCTCAAAATAGCTTATATTTGTTTTGATATTTGTAGAGAATGACTGTACTTTCACAAATAGCAAGTTGTATGTGGCAGAACAATAACAATATTTGTGATTTCTTTTCTATTGGATGTGTTCTTCCTCACTTTTCTATATTAAAAACTCCAACAGACTTGAATTTAAAATTTTATAATGGTACTGAAATATTTCTCTGTGCAAATCTTGGAGTTCTGTCGGGTGGAACAAACTTGAATACAGTGTGTTTGTGTTTTAGGTAAAGAAAGTTATGCACTTCATGGTATATGCAGCTTACAACTCCCGATTAGAAATGTCCTACTTAATGGATCAGTTTGCAATGCCGCCTTTACCACCGGAAAGTGATAAAGAAACTGTTGATGAATGTAAGTTCCTGCCTATGCAAATATCATGCTTGTATTGTGTTCTGTTTCCTGGACCCCCTCAGTGTAGATTGACCCTCCTTTTGGAACAAGGAAGAGTCCTATTTGTGATAGAGGTATTACAGAATCAACTTCTGCACTTTGCTAAATGCATTTATTTGTAATCCATTCCAAACTATTTTTTTTCCATCAAACTTTGAACAAATTTCTGTAAACATTTTCCAAAATCAGATTATTGTGTAAAATCACAATTAATCAATTAACACACTTTTTTTATTTATTAATAATGTTTTTTGCAGGCAATACTGATGACGTTCCCAATTCTCCTGAAGAGGAATTTGATGACCGAGAACTCTTAGAAGATATTACGGATGGAAAACTATCCAAACATAGCAGCCAAGAAAACATACTAGATGATGATTGGAGAGCACAAGAGAGGATAAACAAAGAGGAGCAACAAGAGCAGACCGGTGAGGAAAAAACAGATGTCCAGTGTGAGGTTACTGAAATAAAATCATCAAACAGTCTTAGTT